GCTTCTGTATTCTAGCTGAACCCCTGAGTCATTTTAATAAAGAATGGCAGTGCGTCATGTTGATATCTGCTCAGGGATCAGGAACACATTAACCCAGGCGTAGCTATCTGACTGGCAAAATTGCTTTATGCCTATTGCTACAGCTATTAAGCAAATGTTGCCACTGTTCCATTTTGAACCTTAGAAGCATTTTCCTCTTGAAGACAAAGACTGTCTAGAGTAAGGTATTCTGATGGTTGGACTCTTTCAGAGAAAAATTAGATTTAATAACTGTAATAGCTAACATTTCTATAGGGCTTTAAGATTTGCAGTGTTGTACACATGCGATCTCATTAGATCCCCACACCAACCCTGTACAGGTAGGTGATGTTATTATCCCTAGATAGATAGATAGATAGATAGATAGACAGATGGATAGATAAAAAGAAAGAGAAAGCATTTATCAAGAACTTACCATGTGCTGCAGATACTATTACAAACAATTAAGACAGTCTTCATCCTCAAAAGCTTATATTTTAATGGGGGTAAACAACACATAAAGGAGAAGAAAGCAGCATGGGAGTTAATCTGCCCTTCTTTGTGGAAGTTGTCCAAATCTGTTTATTATTGATCTTCATTCTGACATTTATCTAATTCTCTAAGTATAGATTTGAGGGAAATTGGACTCCTTTTTCTTTGGAGGGTATAACTAACTTCATGCAATGTGCATTGGGTTATTTTCAGTCACTCTTAAAATCATCAAAATATGCTAATGTGTCATTGCTCACAGAATAACTAACGTTGTAGTGCACCCAAAGGACAAGGAGGAGGAACATGGTGGGTGTGAGTAGGCTGCAACATGTTACCAGGGAAGTCTTGCCTAGGAAAATGGTATGAAAATTATCAAATAAATGCATGCGTAGAAAAAAAAAATGAGCCAGTCATAGTGCAAGGGCTAAACAATGGTGAGCCCGTGTGCTCTATCGGTACTCTTGCAGTATGAAGGGATATAAAGGAAGATTCCCAGCAAGCTGGAGTATACTCTCAATAAAGGGTTTTTGGGAGGACAGAGTATCACATGGTTGGGTTACAATCAGCATGATAGGAACGTGGAGGATATTCACCAAAGTATTTAGAGGACAGTCTTGTGATCCTAGCAAAAGGTAAAATTCATCGCAATTGAGAATTGCTTTGTTTTGGTCTTTGTGCCTACAATACTATCTGGTACATTGTATTCTCATTCTCTGTATCTCTCTTTTCTGAATTTAAACACGCACTCACACACAGAATATTTTCATAGAGACAACAGAACACAAAAACATGATTCAATAGGAAATGGCAAATCTCCATTTCATAGCACTGCTCTCACACACATATACACACACAATGCAAATTGTAAATGGAGAGTTTTTCCTCTCTCCAATTGTGAAAGTGAGCTGCTGCACCCCACAGCCAAAAGGAAGCCTTGGGCTGTTAACAATAGTGACATAATCGATGGTTATTTGAGGATCCTCACTGGATCTTTATGTCATGCCTCCTGACTATGGGCTCTGTCCTGGGCCTTGTCTTTCTATGCTCTGTCAACTTCCATGAATGTGATTATTAGCTCTATGCAGAACCTACTTTTGCTTTTCTTTATATTCCCCAGCTTGCTGCAGTGCTTTACACTTAATAAATGCTTAATAAATCATTGATGACTGACTAAATGACCAACACTCTAGCAGTTCCTACCAAGCTAAAAAGGCTCGTTAATGATTCTGCTCAAAGATCTTTTTGAGTCCCATGCTGGATACTATGGTGACAATTTTAATTTTCCCTTTTCAGACAAACTGAGAATTATAGCGAGGCGATTTAGGACTATAGACCCAATTATGGAATCATGACTCTTTTAAGTATCAGGATATATTTAGAAGAAAGATAACTTTAAATAAGAGGTAGCAAGTCACCAGGCTTACTATGGTTTAAGGGCAAAGGATACCCCAAAACGCAAAAACATAGTTTCTGTTCCCATGGAATTCACATTCTAGTAGGGAGACAACCTGAAAGTAACTATATAAAAACATAAACATAAGGTAATCTTCCTTCTAGGAAGGCAGCAGAATGGCACAGTGGATAGAGTTGTTGGCTGTGGAGTCAAGAAGATCTGGGTTCCAGTCCTATCCCTAACACATATTGTTTGTGGGACCCTGGTCTGGTTCTTTAATCTCTTTGAGGCCCACGCAGCTCTATAAAATTCTTAAATTTGTAAAGAAGGTGCCAACCTATATTCAGGGTGGAAAGTCCTCGCCAGGTGCTCCCTATTCTGATGTAATCCAAAGAGAAACTGCCCAAGTGCAAACACACACACACACACACACACACACACACACACACACACACACACGATCTTTGTGTGGTCACCCACCTATATGAATACCACTTAGGGAGGGAATGGTTGAGAGGAAAACCAGGGTGAAAAAACAACAACAACGTACACACACAACCTTCCCCCCCCCATCGTATATCGTCTGTGTCTAATTTAAAATAAAAAAACAAACATTGCCAACTTTTTACATGTGCGTATATTGAAGCAGAAATACTCTACCAGAGAGTTTAAAAGCTTGTCATCAGCAGTGTATTGAGAATGCTCGTGCTGTAATATCTTGGCGTTCATGCTGATTTGAAGGACTCAGAAATTATGTCATTTCTGTTCAATTCAATTTAGCTCAGTTCAACAATACAGAAGGGAAATCTTGATCTGATATTGGGAATACAAATTGCAAAGCAAGAGAGTCTGTAGGCCGTATTTAAATAAGTAAACCAACTTCTACATAATCTTTTGTCCTTAATGGTCTGCCTACTTTTCCAGTCTCATTGGTTATTACTCCCTTCTTGCAATGTGACCTAGCCAAACTGACCTTTCTGTTCTTCGTTCTCCTCTCCCTTCACTGGCCACCCCCCCTGTACTGCCATTCTCGGGGCCTGGAATGTACTTCCTCCTCACCTCTGCCTCACAGTTCCTCTTTCATTAAGATAAAGTTCAGGTACCATTTTTTTGCATGAAGTCTTTCCTAATCCTGATCCTCATCCCTTAAAATGTCATTGCCCTCCTTACCAAACCACTTTATATTTATTTACTTTTCACATATTTGCATTTGCTAATTTGTTCGTTATGTCTATATATACACTTGCTCTCTCCCTCATTGGAATGTAAGTTCTCTATAAGCAGGAACTATTTCATTCTTTGTATTTGTATTAACATTGCCTCCTATAGTTCCTGGCCCATAGAAGCCTCTTAATAAATGCTTGGTTGATTAATTATTAATTAATTAATACTTAAGTCTCTCCCCTTCATATGGGCTGCAGACCATCTCATTGCCTGGGGCGCATGTTGAGTTGGAGGTGGTTGGTGGAGGATGGCTGAAAATGAGCATTCATATTTTAACTCTGCGACTACAGTTCCACCCTCATTTGCTATCTTGTTTTGAATCTGTGGTCATAGGTGAATTTTATCCCATGAAACAGACTCACCCAAGGTCCTTAGCTAAGGACTTAATTACTTCATTTTGATATCTACCCCTGGGATAGACTAAAATATTTAGAATTTGAATCCTTCAGTTGTGTCCCAAATGATGCAAGGTCATTTCATTATCTTTTAGGAGTTTACTATATAATTGCCTTTTATTTAAAAAGCTTAGGATCTGGATTTTGAAATGCAGGTTAGATGTGTCTTAGGACAATTTTAGGAAACTACACTAAGACCTTTGGGAAACCCTGTAATTTCAAGAAGCCACGTGGGGTATAGAACATTGGACTCTCTATTGCACAATGGCTTAAATTCTTCCTCATATGCTTGCTACTTATAGTTACATTACCCTTGGCAAATCAGTTAACTTTTCTCAGCCTCAGTTTCCTTATATGTAAAATAAAGAGCCAGGGGTGTGGCCTTGACTGTTAAGGTCCTTTCCAGTTCTGAAATCTATGATGTATTCTAAGCTCTCTCTTTTCAAATTAATAAACTGAGGCCCATAGAGTTTAAGTGATTTCCTCAAAATCGTACACATAAGAAAGATCAGCTCTACATCCTACCCCTATGCCGGGGATCTTGTCACCACATAATACTGTCTTTCCCTGTTACACTCTTGTTTCTGGTTTTCCTTTTTTTTAAGTGTCATTACTACTTATTCATTCTACATTCAGTAAATATTAACTTTATCTTTGTGTAAAGCCCAGTGCTGCCAGGTAGCAATACAAAGACTTGCCTGGTCTAGGTCCTGCTCTAAAGAAATTTTCAAACAAAATGAGAGAGAGAAGTAAATGGGGGAGTAGGGACAAATACACAAATAACTAGGATTCTGAGCAGAAGAGGAAGCGTAAAGGACATGTCAAGGCAGTGTGCCATGACAAATTTGAAGAAAGGGATCACTTTCAGTTGGGGATGGGGGTAAGGAGAGCAAGTCAGGGAAAGCTTCCTTTTAATTTATTATTTAAGGGAAAAAAGTCTCTTGGAACGAGATACGATATATTAAATACATTAAATTTTATTTAAAATTTACATCTTTGATTCCCTCCTGTTTTCAATATTCATTCAGCAACAAAGGAAAAATTCTAAATACCTAAGACAGATGAATATTTTCAATCTTCTCCCAGCCCAGCCTAGACTGTCAAGTTAGTTACACAGAGAGAAAGTAAGTTCTTGGATCCTTTGTAACTAAGTGTCAGTTATCGTGTGCCTTGGAAGTAGGAAGAGGATCTGGGGATTTGGAAGAAAGTCCTGTATTCACAAAAGAAAATAGAAACGGGGGAAGGACTTATCTTCACTGGAATCATCACCGATAATATAAAAATAAGAGGCAACTGTGTTTAGAATACACACTCATCCATACTCATGGGCTTACATAGTATGCCATGTTGCAGAATTATGAACATTATTTACATAATTTTTAAAAGGTGAACAGACTTTTTTAATATATACACTCACATTTTTCTTTGGTGCTGCTCAGTTATTGCTTTTCAATGCCTGCTACGGACAGTTCTTTGTCTTGAAAGAGAGTATTTCCATCACAGAATGTCCTTGCTGAGAGCTGCCAGAATGCAGGGTCTACAAAATTACTATACACACATTTCAAAGTATGACTTCATGTCACAGAGATAAAATGAAAAAAAAAAGACAAAAAGAAAACATGGTTTACAATAGTAATATTCAATGCATGGGTGCTCATTGGGTGGTGTGGAGAGGTCTATGCCCAGATGTGACATAGCCCATTCCCAATTTATCTCCATGAAAGGCAAATTGAATCTTCTTCCGTTGGAGACAGCCTTGTTGAGGCTTCCTGTCCCAAAAGCTTTCTTAGTGAACTCCAAGAAATAACCACCAGGGATTCATGCTTAGTTAACTCCATCGAATTTTAGTCAGTAACATATATGGGATTATATAATCTTCTATCCTTTAAGAGGTACATTCGTCACTTGCTGCACAGCCCAAAGGACTTGACTCACATTAGAAGGCCTATAATTTAGCAGGCAGAGGAGATTCACTGACCTTCAGGCTGCAGTGACTAAGTTAGGAATCTAGGGCCTTCACCATTGATTGGTTGCAGCATCTACTGGAGCACGGATTACTTTAACTTGGTGCAGCAAAAATGTTTTTGTACACCTCAGGTAAGGAAACTAGCTCTTCCCTCCACCACATATTCATGTCCCTTACTGGCCCTGGAGAGTATAATTACATGTAATTACAATGCTAGCAGGAAAAGGGGAAATACTACATGGCTATTTTTATTATTGTGTGCTGTGGGGTTTTGCCACATCTACTGTCATATCAGCACTTGAAAAGTAAAAGGTATGAATTATCATCCAGTTTGAGAGTACTTAGTGATATTTTAGAGATTTTAATCAAATGATTTTAGTGAAAGCCAGGCAATTTTGAAATCCATGAAACTGGCTAAAAGGAAAATTGAATCTGAAATACACATTCCAGTTACAATTTTTTTTTCATAAATTAGTACGTAAATTTATTTTTTTTTGGGGGGGAGGTTCCTATTCTTTTTTTGCTCCATGGCACTTCTAAAAGTTGAATTGCCAATACTAAACGCACTGTCCCCAAAGCCTAACATAAAAGCTTTTGAAGTTAGAGTTCAGAACCCTGAATTCAGAGATAGCTGAGTAAGTAGACCAATCAGTCACAGCCATGACTGACAAATGGGAAAGCAGTGTTTCTTCTAAGACAGGAATCTGAGCTGTGAAATCAATAGTCTCAAAGTTCTATTCTTAGCCACTGGCTTTATTCCCATCGTGGTAAGTATATCAACTATAGTTGATTTCTTTACTTCCCTCAAAGGGATGCTGTCACAACAAATACACTAAAAAAATTAAGAATGGGAGTTGCTCAGATCAAAGAGTGTACATTAAGTATTAAAAGTATTATTACTGAGCATTTGCTATTTCACGTAGCTTAACTCATTTAAATCAATTATGCACACAAACACAATAATTGTTTACAATATATTTCTATCACCCTTGAAAAGAGTAATTCAAGTATTTAAAATATCAAATAAGACATGATGGTTCTGGGAAAAAATGATCATTTGTGCACTAATGACTTAATTATATAAAAAATGCATATTAGTATTTCAACACCCTTCTAAATTCCTCATAGCTCAAGTTTCCATGTCCATGCTGCAGTCCATAACTATTAATCACATGCTTAATAAACCATAAGGAAAAATGTCATTAACACATTAACCTTTTCCCACACAAATACAACTCTTTTTCATTGTAGATTTTCTCATGAAAGGACTTAAGCTGTAAAATATCTTTAAAACAGACAGCTTTTATACTATGAATCAAATCCAGAAGCATGTGAATACATCAGTTGTACTTCTATTCAGATGTTGTGAATTAATGAAATATTTACTGAGTTTTAGACTGATATGGAATTGTATCATAGTTTTGAAAATGAATTCCCTGAGATGTTGTGATCTTCATAATTGCGCCATTTAAATCATCATCTTCTATGATGGTTATCAATCCTTTAGCAATGATTGATGGGCTAAAAAACAGAAATGAGGCATAAACATTTTAAAAATTAGAGATGATTGATATTGTATATTTTTTAAAGTAATTTCTAAAGTATCCATTTACCTCCAGCCTTCAGCACTTTAATATATAATAGAAGAATAAGTTTATGATGAAGACATTGCTATTCCCAATTACTTTTATTTAATCAGATGTCAGAAGACTTAGACAATGACTACAGTAGTCAGAGAACATACTAGACTTTGGTCACTTTGGGCCTGAATTATTCATATTTACTGTTGACTTCACTTAGATAAGTCTTTTTCCACCCTGTTTCACATGCTCAACTTGACACCCACCAGCCAGAAAATGTCAAATGTAAGAGCAAAAACTGTATCTTTATTCTATGACAACCTATTACTGGCTTCATTAAGTCATTGGGTGTTCCTGTTTCTTTATGTTATTGTGACATTCTGTTGTTTAGCCATGGTAAAACGGAGAATGTGCGTTAGGATCCCATGAACTTTCATTTACATTTAATATCAATATTTAACCTTTTAAAGATCTCTGTAGCATAGCTGGAGTCAGAGCCACCATATGACCTGGGTAACACACCTGACATGTACTGGCTGTGTAATCCTGGGCAGATTCAGAGTAACTTTCCAAGAGTATGAGTTGCAAAGCAGATGCCAAGTTATATTGGTAGAGGGACTTTCCTCAGTTGGGAATGTTCTATATCTGTGAAACTGAAGGTTCAGTTCAGTTTTGTTTTTTTCTCCATCTTCAGAGAAAATCAATCTATCAATCATAGATAAGACCCCTAGATTACATTTGTTTTGGAAATAGATGCTGATGATATTCTCTTTTGACATTTGATTACCAGGTAAGATGTTAAAGAAGCAGTTCCATTTTGGAAGATAGCAGACTTCTTTCTCTCATAAAATTTCAGCATTAAAAAAACTCAAATGTCATGCTTGGCTTCATAGGTATAACAAAACACAGTTATTTGGGCCCTGAATTATCTGCTCACATGTATTATTAAATAATTTGGGAGAAAAAACATGAAGATCTCTACTTACTCTAATAGTCCGTAAAATTTCATCATATCTTTGATACAATCCTTGTATTCATAATATTGCCCCATGTTCTCTTCCTTCTCAATGGACTCGAGGATTGGTGTGTTAACAAAACCTGGGCAAATGGCATTTAATCTCACACCAGTCTTCATATTGTGAGCTGCCATCTACCAAAAAAAAAAAGTTAAATGATTTCCAAAACTACTATAGTTTTAAACAATTAGTATATTTGCAAAATGTAACACGTGATAGTATTGTATCATAGAAGGTGAGCTAGCTACAGAGTTCAAACCCTGCCTTTCACATATACTGACTCCTATGGGACCCTGGGCGAATCATTTAACTACTCTGCAGTGTTAATCCTATGAAAGGCACTGTTCTAGGTGCCAAAGATACAAAGACAAAACAAAACAGTTCCTGTCTTCGAGACCTTCAAAATCATGCACCAGCCTATCTTTCCAGACTGATGCCATCTTACTACTCAATCACCAACTGTCAAGCTAGTGCTACCTCTTTCAAGAAGCCTTTCATAATTCCTCCCATGGTTAAGTGTTTTCTTCTCCATCATGTTGTATTTATGTTGTATGTATGTAATTAATTTGTGAAGCTGTATCTCTTCCCAAACCCTCAGGCAGGAGGTAAGTTCCTTGGGGGAAGGGGCTATCTTATTTTTTATTTGTATTCCCAGAGGTTATATGGCACATAGTGGGTGCTTAATAAAAACATGTTGATTAGTTGGAAACAAAAATTTTAAACAATGAGAAAAGGCTCTCTTCTCCCATGGAAGAACTAGCCAAGAGTCCTCCAAGACCTCAGAGAGGAAAACAGTAAGGTGATTTGCCACAGTTTTTACTGTCTCAATGAGTTTCAGTTTTCTTACATATAAAATGAGAAAGTTGGATTAAGTCAGGCTTTCTTAACTTCTTTGTATGCCATGCAATCTTTGGCAGTGTAGTAAAGCCTATGGACACTTTCTCAGAAGAATTTTTTAAGATGCATAAAATAAAGAAATAGAATTACAAAGTCAACATTACAGGGAATTTAAGTCAATCAATTTTATTGAAATAGTTATAAAATATTAAGAAAAATTTGTTTATAAACCCCAAATTAAGAACTATTGGATTAGACTTCTCTCTGAGGTCCTTTCTCTTATATCTCTAAGCCTTCTGATCTATTTCCCATAAAGTCTTTTTTGACTTTATGGAGAGACAGTTGGATTTATTAGTTGTGACTAGAAAAATGCTCAAATTTTGGTCACCAGTAAAGTTGACTTGACTTAGGCTACTAATCCCTCTAGCTTACAAAACCAGTGTTCTATCTTATTAGAAACTACACCTAATATTAGGGGGGGAGGAAGGATGATCTCAGTTAGTGTTAATGTAGATTAGTTTGTTGGGCTGAATAAAGCAAAGTTCTCATGGACCCATTTGGTAGGGTTTGATTTCTGGACCAGTTACAAATTTGCATAAGGAAAAAAAAAGTTCTGTTTCATGATTGCAGACTACACCCTTCATGTACTACTCATTGGTCATCAGGGGAAATGATGAGAATGATTTGGCTGAGTCATCCGCACTAACAGTCACTCTGGAAAAATGACTCAAATCACATGTACTACTGATAGCAGGGTAGCAGAGTCAACTTCCCATAGGAAGGGCAACATGTTGAGAATGCGAAGATGAAACATGAGTAGCTTCTTTTTAATATCATAATCTAATCCTGTTTGTCTTGGTGGAGGGAGTTGAGTTCTATAAAACCATAGGTTTGTAGAACATTATTTCCAATTGTATTATATCATTTTCAAAATATATTAATTGTGCTAACTTTGAACTATTCAGAAAAATGTCATTGTTTTCAGTTTCTCTGTGTCATAATGCTTTTTCCTGTTGGGTTTTCAGTTATGTAAATTATAACAGAATTGATAACTATCAAAGCAGATTATTTGGCTCACAATGTATGGTGGCAAATATTAAGTAACAAGGCTAGATGTAAAAAACTATAAAACAAACAAAAGAACTTATCCTATTATTAAAGAGATATTGGTTTTTTACAAATAAGGCAAAAAATAGAAAAGAAATGTATTTGGTAGAATTGATCTGAAGATAAATTATCTAATTATTGCTGTAAATAGAAAACAAAACAAAACCAAGCTGATTCCAAAGGTTCCAATTTCTTTACCCTAAAACCTCATGTATCTGAAGAAAAAAAGCATTTGGTTAAAGTTTAAAAAAATTTTTTTAAAATATTTTTTACCTTAATACTATAAAGTCAGGTCCACACAGGTTAATTACCTGATTAGTTACATATAATCATATATATAATCTCTCTAGTCCTGGCCAAATATTTCAAGAGAAATCTGACTTATTAGCTTTAGACAGGGTTTAGAATACAGCAGCCTAGGTTTTGCTTGGGCAAGACTAGTGAAAAACCAAATTTTGAAAACATTGTCACTATGAGAATGTTATGATGTTAAGGATGGGCTTATTATATAGTTATGGCAGAATGGGGACCAGAATCCAAGCCTTTCGTTTCTTTTCATCACACAATACTTAAACAATCAAGTAGTGAATAATGTATTAAAGATTCCTTTTATAACATGGTGAATAACTCTAGAATTTAACAGATCTAGAAGTTCAGTTTTTTTAAAGGGAAGAAGGATTTCATTTTTTATTGTCAAAGATCACTGATGTGAAACATTATTTTCCTTAAGAGTTTAAAATGAAGCCTTCAACCAAGTCTTACTCTGTGGTATGGAGAGATGATCCTGGTTCTCAAAAGCTTAGCCAGCAGAGCACAAGCTCTGTCAATATCTACCAAGATGAAAAAGCTTGTAAAAGTCCAGTGATGGACTGATCATATATTTGCTGGACTAACTTAACTACGTTTGGAGAGGCTCGTCACTAAGTTGGCTGAAAGGGGATGAAGTTTTTGGTCACAGCAACTGTGAAAGATCATCTATTAAATTAGAGAAGAATTTGTAACTATGTTGAATACTTGTACTGATGAAACTGCAGATCCTTAACATTCCTAAGTCAGACAGAATATCACTTTCCTCTTTTCTTTCATGATCTGTAGAATATTGCATTTAATGATAATAATAATGATAGCTAGCATTGCTTTAAAATTTGCAACATGCACAAACAAAGCCAATGCAACCAAGATTAGGAGGGAAGCAGAAAAATGGGAAAGAATTTTTACAAACAGTGTCTTTGATAAAGGCCTCATATCTAAAATACATAGAGAGCTGAATCAAATTTATAAGAATACAAGTCATTCCCAGTTGATAAATGGTCAAAGGATATGAATAGACAGTTTTCAGATGAAGAGATTAAAGCTATCCATAATCATATGAAAAAATACTCTAAATCACTATTGATTAGATAAATGCAAATCAAAACATCTCTTAGGTACCACATCACACCTATCAGATTGTCTAATATGACAAAACAGGAAAATTATAAATGCTGGAGAAGATGTGGGAAAATTGGAACACTAATGCATTATTGGTGGAGTTGTGAACTGATCCAACCATTCTGGAGAACAATTTGGAACTATTTCCAAAGGGCTATAAAAGTGTGCATACCCTTTGATCCAGCAATACCACTACTAGTTCTATATCCCAAAGAGATCATAAAAAAGGGGAAAGGACTCACATGTACAAAAATATTTATTGTAGCTCTTTTTGCGCTAGCAAAGAATTGGAAATTGAGGGGACACTCATTAAATGGGGAATGACTGAACGAGTTGTGGTATATAAATGTAATGGAATACTATTTTGCTAAGAAATGATGAGCAGGTGGACTTCAGAAAAACCTGCAAAGACTTATATGAAAGTGAGTGAAGTGAGCAGAACCAGGAGAACATTGTACACAGAAACAGCCACATTGTGTGATGACTGACTTTGAAAGACTTAGCTCTTCTCAGCAATACAAGGAGCTAAGACAACTCCAAAAGACTCATGATGGAAAATGCTATGCACATCCTGAGAAAGAACTATGGAGTCTGAATACAGATTGCAGCATAGTATTTGCTCTCTCTTTCTCTTTTTTTTTTTGTGTTTCTTCTTTCTCATGTTTCCTCCCTTTAGTTCTAATTCTTCTTTACAACATGATTAATGTGAAAATATGTTTAATAAGAATGTATGTGTAGAGTGTGTATGCTGTCTTGGAGAGGGGGAAGGGGAGGGAGGGAGAAAAAATTTAAAACTCAACAGCTTATGAAAGTAAATGTTGAAAACTAAAAATAAATAATTTTTTTTAAAATAAAGTTTGCAGCATGCTTTATATTATCTCATTTACTTCTCCTAAAACCCTGTGAAGTAGGTGCTATTACTACTTTGAATTTGCAGCAGATGAGGAAACTGAGGTAGGCAGAGTTTAAGGGACTTGCTCAGGGTCACGCAGCTAGTAAATGTCTGAGGCAGGACTTGAACTCTGGTCTTCCCAACTCCAAGGCTAGTATACTACCTATTGTGCAACTTAGTTACCCTTTTTTTTTAGTGTAAATAACTTTATTGAAAGACAGAGAGAGAGAGAGAGAGAGAGAGAGAGAGAGTCCTTATGCTAAATGAAAGGCATGTGGCAAGTTTTGAGGCAGCTATGTATTTACTCACAGCAGCAGATCGTGTGAATCCAATTATTCCATGCTTGGAAGCACAGTATACTGGCTGGTGTGCAGCAGGCATAAGTCCTTTAAATAAGAAAAGATAAGGGAGAAAAAATTAAGTAGACTAGGTTTCCCTAGACAACTATTGAATCCAACCAATTTGTACTAGCTACAGCTGAAAGATAATTTTTTTTGTAAACCTTTAAATAAAAAAAAATACACACTTAGACACTAGGCAATTCTGATAAGCTTACCGATTTGCTCCCTCCATCTCTCCCCTTCACCCAAATACACACATTCTAATGGCCAGGTACTGGGGCAGCCCTATAAGTGTAATTAAATGCCCAAGAGGCTTAGGGAAGGGTGAGACTCAAGCTTCTTCACTGAGAAAATGAGATAATATTTGTCCCATTTGTGGTGATGAGGAAAATCCTTAGTAAGCTATAAGGCTACCATATAAAGGAACTGTTGTTATTATTTTCTGCCTCTAAGCTAGGCAAGTTGAAGATGATGTTTAAATAGAGTATAGTTCATGGAGGAAATTCTTATTTAAGGAACCCTGTGAGTCATTTTAGGAACTAAAACCAAAGCATCAATTTATTATTCTGCAAATCCTCCTCTCCACCCTTTTTTCAAGGAATGCTTGAGTGTTATTCCTGGAGAGTAGAGCCAAGGAGAACCTCAGCACCACTGTCTCAAATGTTTGGATCTGGTTCTCATCCCCAGCCATCATCTGTAACAACCTGACCAGCTCCAGCCATTTTAACACCCAGTTCCAGAAAAGGCCTTTCTGTCCCTAGAACACATGTCTTTTCAAAGAATTTGTTCATAATGTAGTAAGCATTACTGTCAAGCTTATTTCCTTGAAATGCCTACAAATTTGTGGGTTGATTAATTCTCATACTTGTGAACTCACCTCCCTCCCCTTTTGGTCAATTTTCATTATTTCTTAAAGTCAACTATATATTACAGATACTCCATGATGCTTCAGCAACATAACTCTTTCTCCCAGGCCCCTTCTTAATCATGATTTCTCTGAGCCAAGAACCAATGATCTTTGACTGCTACGTATGGTTATTATACTAAATGCCCTGCTAATAAAAGGAAGTAATCTCCACGTAGCTAGCCATTCTCAGAATATCACCAAATAAGTTGAGTGTGCCATACCAAACTTCAGATACGGACATAGAATTTAACCACTCCCAAGATGCATGTCAAGTTTCAACCCAGAAAGCATGTTTACTTGGGAGTTATTTACATCCTCAGAAGAATAATTCATAGGTAACAAAATGTTAACTCTAGGAATCAAAGAAACAATATTTTAGTACTCTTTTTGTTTGAATTAATTTTTAAGTTAGAAAAATATATCTAAGTACATTATGTCTGTCAACACGTCATTTAACAGTTAAGTTTTTTTTTTTAATCCCAGTTATTTCCCATAATACTCCATACACCCATTGAAATTTCACAACAAAGAAAAATAGAAAAAAGAGAAGCCCTTTTTTGGGGGACAGAGTCAGGAGCCTCCAAGCATCCCCTAACCAATTTGGCCCCTGTCTCTCCCTTTCACCCAAATATACACATTCTACTGGCCAGGACCTGGGGCAGCCTATAGATCTAATTGAATGCCCAAGAGGCTTAGTGGAGGGTGATACTGGAGCTTCACTTACAAAATGAGGATAATAATTGCCCTTTCCCCCTCACCAGCTCTGCCCATCACCAGCAGCAGGAAGCTAAGGGCAGTCCCTTCAGGGAGACTGTGGCTATCTCCCATATCCTCATCTCTTCCTCCTAACTTCTCTGGCTTCCTTCAAGTCTCAGCTCATGCCCCACTTTCTGCAAGAAGCCTTTCCCAATACTTCTCAATCTTAGTGACTTTCCTCTGAGATTACCTCCAAGTTATCCTATTTTCATCTTGTTTGGACATAATCACTTGCATGTTGTCACTCCTGTTAGATTGGGAACTCATTGAGGGCAGGGACTGTTTTTGCCTTCTTTGTGTTCTCAGTGATTTGCACTATGTCCAGCACACAATAAGAACTTAAATTACTTTCGTACTTATGTAACACCCAATAGTGTATGTAATTCCTATAGTCCCCTATCTTTCTTCTGAGAGGAGAGAAGTATGTTAGTTTTATTACCTGTTCTCTGGGATCAAGATTCAACAACTACTTATTATACCTTCAACAGAGCAGAAAAAAGTAATAGGAGTTTGAGGCTTACAGGGTTTTTAGAACTAGTAGGTTTCTTAGTGATCAAACTAAAAAATGGAAGATTATTTCAAGCTGTTTCAATACAGTCGTTTAAAAAACAACTTTCTAAGAATGGATGCATGCTTTCTAGAGGTCAGATGTAAAAGCTTCTTCTAGCCTCTGTGATATTATGGTAGCAAAAACCCAAAATGACTCATGAAGTATTATCCCAAGGTCAAAGCTCTAGAGCTGGAACAGTCTTTCAAGGTCATCAAATCCAATCCTGTCATTTTTCAGAAGAATCTGAGGTTCAGAAAGAGGAAAACAATTGGCCCCAAAGTCATCTAAATAGTGACTGGTAAAGTCAGTATTTGGACCCAAGTCTTGGGGCTCCAACATTAGTACTCTGTCTAGTGGATGAAATGATATTTATTCAGTGCTGTTCTAGAATAAGAAAACATAGGGCTTCTATTTAATCCAGTGGCTTTATTCACCTCCTCTGAGGCAATCTCTTCATGTCTGGAAACTGACATTACCCCAGGAAATACAGAGACGAGTTTACACAGAGATAAGCTAGTTGACACAGCACAAAATATACAATAAATCAGAATGTTCTCTCAACTGAAAAAAGAAAATAATCTATAGACTGGCAGAAATGCCTTTCAAAGGGCAATTTGGAATTAATTTCTACTGACATAAGGCTGAACTTCTGAACTCACCCCACTCAATATTTAAGTACATAGTTAGTGAAATAAAGTATTTGAAATACAAGTTTTATTGGCTCTTTCTCAAGAGGCTAGAGACAAACTCATTTCATCACATGGTACTATTTTAAAGGCATCCCTGGTTCTTTAGGAACCTTTTTAAATTGCTGGAAGATTTTATTTATTCTAAATATGATGAGTTGTGAATATACAGAAGGTCATAGCCCAGAGAGTCTGAGTCAGAACTGGAAGAATAGTTGAAGGTCATTTTGTCCAGCCCCCTCATTTTTTAAGAGAACTAAGGCCCAGAGAGGTGTGACTCTGTGGAGAAGACACTGTTGGATTCAATGACCTCTGAGGTTCTTTCCAGCTCTAAAACTATGACCCTAAATGTCTTGCTCTAGGTCAAGCTGCTAGTACCTGGCAGAATCATGAATCATGCTCACTCTTCACTAAACATAGTATTTTAGTGGATTGTATGAGGTAACTATAATATGGCAGCCAAAAGAATTAATGTGATCTGGAACTATACTAAGAGGAGTACAGCTATGGAGATGTCAGACCATGGTTAGAGGATTATGTTCAGTTCTAGGATCCTTAGTTCAGGAAGGACATTAACAATGTGGTGAATGTCCAAAGGAAGACAGTGAGGATGGTAAAAGGCCTAGAGTCCATGCTATATGAAGAGAACCTGAAGGAACTGGAAAGTTAGCCTGGAAGAAACTCAGTGGAGTCAGGATAGTATTCTTCAAACATCTGAAGGGCTCTGCTGTTGTCTTATTCTGTCTGGCCTTAAAAGACAGATCTAATAGCAATGCACAAAAGTTGTAAAGAGGCAAGATGGAGATTAATTGTAGGCAATACTTCCTAATAATTAGAGGTATCCCAAAGTGGAATGTGAGGCTTTGGAAAATATTGGTTTCCCTTACATCTGAGGTCTTTTAGCAAAGGCTAAGCAACCATTTAACAAGTAATCAACAAAGGACTACTGTTTGCAAAGCATTGTAGTGAAGTAATCAATAATTGTCAAGTTAAAAAACCTAAATAGGCAATCATCTACACTTAAAGTATGTTAGCTTAAAAGATGTTTTATGTAAAAAGATGAAAACAAAATGTTATGTTTTAGCATTTTCTGACCTTAATTCAGGGGTTCTTAACCTGGGATCCCTGAACTCAAAAAAATTTTTTTTGGTTATTATTTTTCAGTATACCTAGATTGCTAAGTAGGGCAGTGGTTAGAACAGAGTCAGAGGGGTGGATGGAGAGTGTTGCAGGCATGAGGGATGTCCAGAAAAAATGTCCAGAGCTGAGAAATGGAAGATCTTGTTTGTGGGACAGCCACAAGGCTGTGAATACTTCACTTCAATAAATACTTGTGAACTGATTTTGCTTTTTTCCCTCTATTTTTTATTTTTTATTTTTAAAAAAAGCTCTTGAATTTATAGTTGTAACTGATAAAAAGTCTTACTGACTATCTTGGCCTTTGAACATTTGATGGAAAGTTAAAAGGGGATACCCAGGAAACTCAGTGCCATGAGGCTCAGTAGCACAGGCTGGCATCTAGCACAGTTATAAGAACATGACCCCAAAATACTTCTTGATATGATTTAAACTTCAAAGTCTTTTACTTCTTCTGTGCAAATAAAAAGACTGCTAATAATGTTAAGCACAATGTCATTTTCTAAAACAGAATATATCCTCTAGTTAGGAATATCCTTTGGGGATTTTTTTTCATCTCTTTTTGGTAAAGCTTTTCACTTTCAATAGTAAGCTAAGATAATCTTCACATTTTTACAGGAATTAACAAAATTGCAGAGGTTTTAGAAAATCCGAATTCATTTCTGAGATGAATGTACAGGTCTGGTCCTGTCATCTTTACATAGGCAAAACTCCCAGTAAAGTTTAGATGGAAAGATTTGGCTGTTAAACTAACACAGTTCAGTGTAACAACAGTAGCATTATTCTAAGTGTTTTTAGTTTTTAGTTTTTTTTTCTTTTTTTAAACAAGATTAAAATCTGTTAAAGGAGCAGTTTAGTAAGGCCCTTCAGTAAAACGCTCTTCTGAAATCCCAAGAGGCTATTACTGTCGGTCCTCAAAAGCCATGCCAGCAGGAACACAGCTTTTGCAGGTCTTGCACAGCTAGAAAGATTTCAAGTAGGGCCCCAGGTCTCATGTCTACCTGTGGCA